TCAACAACCGATGTGGGACATCTTTTACTAGACTCCACCCCCCCCCTTGGAGGGCCCAGCGTCCCCGCTGGCACACCAGTCCGGGTACTGGCTCTGATACCACTGTAACAGCCCAGCTCACCCGCTACAGAATATTATCCGCTTTGGGAATACACCAGATCATTCCCTCACGGTTTTGCCTTTGGGAGCTAGCTCACCAAAACGCGTCCTACTAGTTAAGGCTTGCCCTTAACCCCTGACTCGCACTGCGCAGCGATGCGTGGTAGGATATTGTCCCTGATCTGAACCCAGGGTTTTGTTCTGGTACTGACCCAGACGCGTCCTGTAGGTTGAGGTGTCCACAGCCACTTATATGGCATGCTTCGTTCTCCTCAACAACCAATGTGGGACATCTTTTACTAGACTTCTGGTATCGTCGGGCCGGGAGCGTGACGTGACGTGACGGGACCTCAGGATATTTATATATGTTTTGGATTGTATAAATATGATTATGATCTACGCTTCCGCTCATATTTTGACGATTTTGACAATGTTTGTCGGTTTTGACGAACTTTTAAGAAACTCATGATTTCAGTAACCTGACGTTTTATTAAATTAAAACAACGGTTTTGTAAGTTAAGTCACGATTTTCACGGTAGCACCCCGAATCAGTTTTCGCAAAGTAAAAAGATTTATTTTTCAAAGACTTTGAGAATTATTGCGCTACTCTGATTTTTACAGTAAGGAGGGGTGTTACAATTGGTATCAGAGCCAGTACCCGGACTGGTGTGCCAGCGGGGACGCTGGGCCCTCCAAGGGGGGGGGGGAGGAGTCTAGTAAAAGATGTCCCACATTGGTTGTTGAGGAGAACGAAGCATTCCATATAAGTGGCTATGGACACCTCAACCTACAGGACGCGTTTTGGTGAGCTAGCTCCCAAAGGCAAAACCGTGAGGGAATGATCTGGTGTATACCCAAAGCGGACAATATTCTGTAGCGGGTGAGCTGGGCTGTTACAGTGGTATCAGAGCACGTTTCTGCGTCTCTGATAAGTTTTTCAGTCAGTAATTTTAAGAAAAAACTGAACCGTCATGCTCACGCCCCGCCGACGACAGGTAAGTGCTGATTCAGTTTTT